TGCGTTTAAGTTTACCATGGACAAATTTGACATAATTGAGTTATTAGCACGTGGTCCACTAACCGGTGCCGGTGTATGGAAAGTGCAACAAAAACAAACCGGCTCATTCTGGTCGACCAATAGCCGGGCAAAACAATTTGCTATTAAACAGGCTGCCATTAAATCACCGGATGATCCTGATAGTATATTTAATAATAATAATTATATTTTAATTATTAAAACTAATTAAATCTAATATTTTTAATTTTATTTATGCAGGAAATTATAGCCCATTGAACGAGATTGATATAATGTTGCAATTAAGCAACAAGGCCAGAATTGTTCACCTGTACGATAATTGGCAGCATGGTGATTATGTGTATATGAAATACGAGCTATGTGATTTTAGTTTGGCCCAGGTGCTCAATGTTAAAGGGTTTGAGCTGAGTGGCAGGGATAAAGTTTTTACCAGAGATGCCCATGGTCATGTCGGCCTGGTTGAGTTTGTAGCATGTTGCTATTTTTATCGGGAGATTATTAAATGTCTAGCAGTGTTGCATGATGCAAGCCCTCAAATTACACATGGTAATTTGCGTTTGGATAACTTTTTGGTCAAGTTTGTTGACCGCCGCAGGTTGGTAGTTAAGCTTGCTGATTTTAGCAAATCATCAAGGGTGTGTATTATTTAATTTGTAATTTGTTATAATAATAATAATAATAATTGTGTTGTTTATTTTTTAAATGTTTAATTATTTAATAGATAATTATACAGAATTAATTAAAAAATTAAATTTTAAATTACCATTTAGACAAGGCAGAATAGTTTGATAGTTTATAAATTATAATTGAAAATTCACTGGACACTATAAATCAATTTTAATATAGTAATTAAAAAAATAAATTTTAAATTCAATTCAATTGTATGCAAAAGTTAAAAATAAGTTCAATTAATTGTTTGTAATAATTATAAAATATAAATCATAAATATTAGCATAGCAAAATATAAATATAATGGTTTAGATCTAAAAAGTAATTAATAAACTAAAAATTTACTGAATTTGTTATAAACTGCACAAAAATATATAATAGTTTTTTACATTAAATCATTATTAAAAAAGTAATTTAATTTGGGTCTGTAAATAATGTTAATACTTTAATTATTATATATCAATTTATTAAACAATAATAATAACTCAAATTTTTACCTAGGTAATCAACTCTAGGGCTACAAAACAAATAAATGATTTTTATAATTTGGGCATGATCATGATGCAATTATTTGATATACACGACGGAAAGTAATTATGAACAAATACACAACTATAATTAATTAATAACTTACACTATGATTAATTATGTAGCGCAAGCATACATTTAAACAACCCTGATGATAAAATACGAATCGCGTACGAAAGTATTTGGCGCATAATTGAGGATTTAATTGATCATGGCAACAAGGACAATTTATGGACCTGTAGTACATTGTTAACAGACGCTAACTCGTGGTATATTGATGCTCAAAATGTGATTGATGCCGGTACATTTCATCGTGACCAGATTTGTGACCATGGTCATGTGGTTGATCAATGCCTAAAGCGCATATTTAATTACCGTGATTGGTCTGATGTGGTCAGTGATATGATGACTGATCTAACTAATCAATATGGTAATGGTGCTGATGTTATTGGTCAAGTTGTATTAGCTGAACTTAATTGTGCTGTTTATTGACTATAGCAATTTGTATATTGAGTATAAGTAATCAAGAACGATTATTAAATTAACAAATCAAACTTTATAAAATAGGTTTATTTAAATTTTGTTATGTTTACAAAATAGTGTATTTAAAAGTTAAGCTTTAAAAAGTAAATATTTCAAATGATTTTATTATTTTAAATCGTAATTTTAGATTAAAACTTGTAAAAGTAATTTAATTAATTGCTATAATAAAAATTTAAAAATCTTAAATCTAAATATCATTTTCATTACTTATTAATAATGACAAAATTTTTTATGACAAATTTGTTAAAAAGGTTATTCACCATAAAATTAAACAAAATAAAATAGCAAGTAGATATAAAAATAAGCAAGCAATTAGTAAAAATAGTAAAAAAATTAGATAATAATTAAGCAAAGCAAAAAAATTAAAACTAACAAAATTAAAACAAACTAGCCAGATAACTAGCTGCAACCAAACCAAAAATAATCCAGACCAAATAAACAATTTAGTAACCGATAGCCCACTGACCATCTCCCTTAGCGGTGAACACGGTGAAATTGCAGCCCCAGCAATAATTGCCGGGCGACTCGAGCTCAACCTCCACATAGGTTTTGCCGACACCACCTGCGCTGACCCGGGCGTTGGGCGACCTGAGGTCATCGCTGATGGGCAACACCGCGAGCCCCGTTATGGTGCGACCCTCGTTGTCACTGTATTTAGCCACGTAATCTTTGGACCCGGTGCGTTTGATTTGCTCTCCGAACATGATGCCGTTCATTTTGCAAGTACCCTGCACCATTCGCGGTTGACCGTAGTCCCGGTAGCGCCGACCCGACTCTTCCCGATCCGACCCGAAGAAAAAGTCCCACACCGAGTGAAATATCTCTTTGATCAGGGCAATTACGCCGACGCCAACACCCGTCCAAACTGTCATCTCCATTTTTAATCTAGCTGGATTATTGTAAATTAGTAAAATAATTTGAATTTTTAATTAATCAAGGTAAAATTTATTTACTTTTGAACAGATTTACTTGAATGATACAATTGAGACAATACTTGCTTTGAAAAACGTGTGATCACTTCGTTAAATGAGGGTCTATGACATTTGCTCGAAGGACATTTGCTCGAAAGACATTTGCTCGAAAAAATTAACTTAAATTGTAAAAATTAACTAGTTAAACCTAACCTAACTTAACCAAACTAACCTAAACTAACTAATATACTCTTATTTAATAATATTATTTGTAATATTTACTAATTTAATGTATTTAAAGCAAATTAAATTAAAAATTTTCGAGCAAATGTCTTTCGAGCAAGTGTCTTTCGAGCAAATGTCTTTCGAGCAAATGTCCTTCGAGCAA